CCCGCCCGACACCACCGTGACATCCTCGTTCTCATGCGCCGCTTCCTTGTTGCAGGTGGTCGGCGCTGGAGCGCTGCGCGACGCGGTTCTCCACACCCGGAGGGGCTCCGACGCGGCCGCCAACGTGGTCGCCGTCGACGCCCTCGAGGACGAGGACGACGACAGCGGCGGGCGCATCCTGGCGTCGGCGGCCGAGGAGGACGGGCCGCGGGACGACGCCGGCGTCGACGAAGCCGTGCCCGCCTACCTGCTCGAGCTGCTGCAGAACCACCGCAACCGGCAGCACCTCGAGGAGGACTTCGGCTACCACGACGACTACCGGGAGCGCTACGACGGCTTCGACACGCCGCCGCCCTTCCGCCAGCGCCACAAGCGCGCCAACAAGAAGCCGCAGCGTGAGGTGCGCGCCAGCGACCTGGAGATCTCCGAGGAGGAGGCCTTCTCCACCAGGGTGTTCGTGACCACGCCGCGGCGCCAGCGGTAGCGGCGCGCCCCGCGCGTCTCCGCCTGGCACTAGCGGCCGCGGCGTCACCGCGCCATCACAGCCCCCACCAGCTTCTGCGACTTCAACATGACGCTTCGAACATTTGTCGACGATTGTCGCATGCAGCCGTCGTCAAATGGTTTGATTCATTTTGAATGTTTATTTAAGCTTGCGGGGCTGCCATTTTGTTCACTTGTTCTGAAGCAAAACACTTAAAAGTCTTTTTGCAAGGCTTGAGTTGGCGTTTAGAGCCTTATTCGGAGTAAAACAACATAAGAAGAGAAATGTAACGGATGATTTAATACAGTGCTTGGAGTTCACTGTAAGACTGGGGATTGTCAGCCGCCGGGTTGTCCCGAGCTTTTGATAGCGATGTGATGTGCTGTTCATTTAAGTAAATATTTTTATTACTACCTTGTCTGATCCAAGCTTGAACTGTTCTGGGGAGAGGTAAGATAGTTAAGTATTTTTTCAAGTGTGTAGGCCGTGAATTTAATAAAGTGATACTATGACGGAACATATGTGTCTATTTTCTAACTGTATATAATTGTTAACTACGTAGCTTTTATTTGCTTTACAGTTAAACCTTTGTTTTTATTTGCTTGAACAATAAGTTGTGACAAATTGCAAAGCTTTCGGAATTCCGAATACCCACGGTTATGGTAAATATTCACAACCCATCCGGATCTTGCCTCAGTATGCTAAATGTGTGTTAAAATCCTAGTTGTCATAAGGTATTTTTTATATAACAAAAAAAGTATAGCTAGAAGAAATTTGTAATTACATGTAAATAAAGTTTAAAATAAACAGTTCTGATTTGATGTATTGCTGCCACTCATTCCTTTAAAACAAAGAATGACGACTGTGCAAGTCAAAACCGAAGGCATGGGGGTGGTAGGGAAACATGATGTCATGGGCCTCCTCTTTACTACGACATGTGCATGTAACGATCTGGACAATCGGTTCCCACATGCCACGCGGTGGCCACAGCCCAGGGCACGGCGCGTCGTCCGCTCCGCCCCCAGATCAAAGCGGCGGCGGCCAGCGCCGCCCCCGCCGCCCCCGCCGCTGCTTACAGTACTAAGCCGCCCGGTTGTGCTGGGCATCATGCGCCGACTGCTAAAGCATTCATTACGTGCAGCGGCCTCTGAAATTGGCTGCTGCATTTTACAAACAAGCGCTATTAGGGAAGGGCTAGGGTTAGGACCCCCCCCCCCCCCTACCACATCCTGGTGGGTGCCGGCTTCACTTTTGGCGCCAAAGCGAATGCAATTTGAAGCGCGCGACGTCAAACAGGCGCTCCCCTGCTCTGGGTGGGTAATTACACGGGCTCTCTGTGTGTGCGAGAGAGATGGCTTTGCAGAGGGACTGCGACTGGACAGTATGTGTGTGTGTGTGTGTGTGAGAGAGAGAGAGAGAGAGAGAGGGGGGGGGGGTACGCGTTTTGGGCCGCTGCCGCAGGGAAGGTCGACGGCCTAGCCGCCATACGAGGCACGATGCTCGCTTAAAACGTCCTTATCATCAAGTTTGACTCGCAGCGCAGCTGTACTTCAGACACACAAGTAGAGTAGTAGCAAAGAAAGACAGAGAGAAGGAGAAGGGAGGAAGCGAGAGAGAGAGAGAGAGAGAAAAAGAGATGTTGGGAAAGTCCGCCGTTTTGCGCGCTCCTCAGTCGATGCGGAGGTGGAGTGGCCGGGCCGGAGGCGGTTCAACGCAAATCCATCATCTCTCCTCCCTCCCCATCCTCGGTAAAGGGGGGGGGGGGGAGGCAGCCGGCACACTCCCAACCCTTCCAGCTGTATCAGCCATTTGCTAATTGGGAGTAAGCGCCGATCGGCTGCGAAATATGAGCTTCGGTGCGTCCCGTGACAAACGGCAGTAATTGCACGGCGAGTCGAGTCCGCGCGCCTGGAGGGGATTTACAGGCGAGGCTGAGGTGCTCCCGCCGTCCACTCGTGAGGGGCGGCGTGAGTCAGCCACTCCACAGAAAACAGCGTAATAACGCATGTTATCACTAGATGATAACGCAGTGCACATTTCAGTTTTTGTGCAATATTATCTAAACGAGCTCTGAGATTTAATTTTCGAGAGCACCATCGGATTTCCCGCGAAAATTCCGACCAAACAAGCCTACATGTGATAGGGTTCGGAGTTCAAATAATAATACGGAATAAGACGTGTTCTTAGAGAACCTTTGTTTAGAACCCTATCACATGTAGGCTCATTTGATCGGAAATGTTACGGGAAATTCAATAGTGCCTTCAAAAATTAAATTTCAGCGCTCGTTTAGAAAATATTCCACAAAAACTGAAACGCTGGTTTCAGTGTCGAGCGGCAACTGTAAAATAATGAGTTTTTATACTCACGAAGTTATTTAAATAAAAAAATTCACACGATTGTGGGTGAGCGACAAAATATTCACACACTTGTAGGTGAGCGAAAACAAATTCATACACTATGCCAACATTAATTTTCAAAATTAAGCAAGCGGGAAAGAAAAAAAAAGTCTGCCTCACCCGTATCGGCGACGGGCCCCGCGCAGCTAATGAAAGCTACTTAAACGGATTGGAGAGGAATGTGGTTGTTGGACTTACGGGTGTCGCAAGGTGAGCAAGACTGAAACCCAGATTCAGAGGCCTTACCATCAGGGGTACGCGGGATTCGAACCCACAACCCCGAGCGCCGAGTCAATTCGACAGTTACAGTGACCCTGCCACCAGAGCTACCCAGCCAACGGAGGTGAGCCGTGTTCCAATTCTACTTGAACTTCAGGTCGGCCCTGAGGCCTTACACTAACACTAAGCGGAAAGCGAAAAATGTTGCCAAGCCTGGAGTCGAACCTTCGACCTGTGACGCTCTGGGCGGGTGCTCTACCGACTGGGCCATGGAGGCGAGATAAAGGTAGTCGTATCAGGCGACGCGCCATTCTACGCCGTCGCTGAAGCCGAAAAAAAAAAAAATGTGCTGAGGATTTTTTTTTAAAGCAAGATACACTTTCGATGTCAAACTCAACTAGACGTCAATTGGTGTGCAAATATCAGACGTTTTGTTTACGTTTTTATAACTACACTGAAAAAACAAAGGTGCTATCTAATGCCTTTTAAAGGCGTTAGTGAAATAGTGCCTCTAGAAAGGTGCTGCTGCCCCCCAAAGGTGCTCTTTTTGGCACAAATCGTTCCTCTACAAAGGCACTAGTGCAGCAGCACCCCTTAAAATTCAATAGCACCCTTAAAAGGGTGCTTTTGTTTTTCCAGTGTAGTGTTCAATATTTGCACACTACTAAGTGTGCGGCTCAGTTAAACACCGTGTCATGTGCAAAACTATCAGTTACACACTTAAAGGTGCAATATTTGCACACTTGTTTTACCAGTGTGGACTTGATCCGGGACGGCGATCGGTGGCGCCGCCACACGTCCGGGTGAAGGGCCTTCGGGTGCCGGCTGGGCGGACCCGGGCCCGTCGCCGATACGGGTGAGGCACTTTTTTTTTCTTTCCCGCTTGCTTAATATTCAAAATTAATGGAGGTGAGTAAACCTGTCCAACGGTATGAATTTTTAATCGCTCACGCACAAGTGTGTGAATATCTTGTCGCTCACCTACAAGCATTTGAATTTTTCCACCTACCTGCAGGTGTGCGACAATCGTACACTTGGATTGCCTGTGCATTTTCGACTAATTCGCAACTTTAGATATTCACGTTACAAGCGAAAATTAATACTTAACGTTATTCAGTTGATATTCATTAGTATTCACAATGATTATTTACTTACATAATCAGCAATCTTTTAAATTATTCAGTAAAATTTTAACTATTTATGAATATTCGTTTATGTTCACAAAAATCACGAATATGCAACTTCTAAACATTTTCACAGTACACGTAATTCCCGATTTGTGGACCCTTCGATCCGAGGTTTCAGCAGATCGCAACTGGAGATGGGTCGTACCGAGAAACGACCGCTCATTCACATCCTCCTACTTTTTCTCCCCCCCCCCCTCCCCCCCTCCGTTTTGGGCCGCTGCCGCAGGGAAGGTCGACGGCCTAGCCGCCATACGAGGCACGATGCTCGCTTAAAACGTCCTTATCATCAAGTTTGACTCGCAGCGCAGCTGTACTTCAGACACACAAGTAGAGTAGTAGCAAAGAAAGACAGAGAGAAGGAGAAGGGAGGAAGCGAGAGAGAGAGAGAGAGAGAAAAAGAGATGTTGGGAAAGTCCGCCGTTTTGCGCGCTCCTCAGTCGATGCGGAGGTGGAG